GTGGGAGTTTCCCCCCACAGAGGGACAAAGGACCCCCTGATGATCCTCTACCTAATCACATGAGCTGTCTTCAAGCTGTCTTCGCATGAGACTCAAACAAGTCCAGACGCTTTTCTTTCCAAGCTCCTTAGACTACGATGACCTGGATGACTGAGAACCTTCACAGACGTTTAGGACCACGTGCCTTTAAAAGGCCAAATCTGTGCAAAAATGTGATTCGCTGTCATTTTCTGTCAGGTCACAGTGTCATGACGTTCTGATGGCAAAGGCAGCATGTATTTCTCCTCACTGGAAGATCTCCAATCAAAGACAAGAAGCGACCTGCCTAGCCTGCCATCAGCCTCCGTTATAACTTATTATTGTACATGAATGATTGAGGAGCGTCTCGCTGCTGCACACAGAGGATAGTCTTTACTCTGCATGTCTTTATCGTGATCTGTCTCTCGGTGTTATTGGATGGGAAGTAGACGGTGATTAATTATCTTTCTTCTCTGTTATGTTTTCTGTCTGTGTCTCCAGGGAGTTTTTCCTGCCAGCTACGTTCACTTGAAGAAGGCCATCGTCACCAACAGAGGGTAAGTGTGTAAACCTGCGACACTACACTGAGCCTCTGTGAAACCTCAGGCTCGGTTAGACTCACGCTTTCGATGAATTTAACACCCTCACTGACTCCAGCATCATGTTTCAGTTTGAGGGCTGAAAGCAGTCGTGTTGAACATAAAAACAGCAAAAAGCATTTATTGTCCTCTGAGCCTTTCTTTCTCTCCTGTTACTCATTCAGTCATTAGTGTCTCTTTTCTGTCTGAAGAGGATTTTAACCAGAGCTTCACGGACCGAGCGTCGCTAACAGCCTCTGCTGAGAGTGACAATACGTTATACTGCCAAACGTATTCAGTCAGCCCTGCATTTGTTCCAGTCACTTCCACAGGCTTTTAAAATAAATGCAAAGTTTCCTTATTGTCTGACTCACTAATGAAAGCTGCACATGTGGCAGCTAATACCTGCAGGCCAAAACGATCGAGTCTGTTTTTTGTCATAAAGTAGAGAAAAAGTGTATTATTCGAACCACCTGCACATGTGGCGTGGTTTGCAGCACACATGCACACGGTGAGCCACTGCAATCATCTGTGGGAAACCCAGTCTTGCTTTTAAGAGCACCAGCTCTGCACTTGTTTTCAAGGTACTAATGAGGTTAACATCTTGGAGAAGTTGCCACAGTTTTTCGGTGGACTCAGTCCGTCTCCGAGTCTTCTGCTTGTATGATCCTGGCCTGAGCCTGAGATGTTGATCTGGGCTCTTTGGCGCCCTGCTTCCTGCTGCAGGACTTGCTGCTCTGCTTTCAGCTGAAGAACAGTCTTTGTGAGTCTGGCTGCATGTTTAGATCGCTGTGAGTTTGGGGGCCGATCAGACTCCTTCCTGATGGTGTTGTGAGATAACAATCATCGAACATGCCAAAAGCCTTTCGCACCATACTGTATGTCATCATCTTTTAGTCACTCCAGATCTGATCCGATTTGAGTCGCCCTCGTGTACCGAATGTGGGATGATGCCACAGTCGGGTAAATTTTATATCCGCAGTGCTGGGAGGCATTTTTCTTCTTCTGCAGCTAAAACTGTTTAGGAGGTAATTTGATGAAATCTGCTTTTCTGTTGGGATCAGTTGTTTTGAGACTCATTCTTTCTAAATAAGGTATAAACCTCCTTTTTTCTCATTTCCTTCCAAGTTCAACTGTACATATTTTAATACATTAGCATAATTATTTGGAAAAGCTTTAAAAAAACCCAAAACAAAACAAAACCCTCCAAAATTCAGATTAATCAGCGTTACAGAGCGTGTCGCGATTTGCATAAGAGTTTTTTAATTAAAGGCAGAGAGTAAATTAATTGGAATTAGTGAATCTTTTAGAGTTTCAAGTAGGCCCCCGGGGCAGAGACGGAGAGTTGGTGTATTTTACTGAAGGAAGATGGAGGCTGCTGCATGATGACAAACATAATTAAAGACTGTTGATCAAGTGGGTCTTAAAGCAGCAGAGCTTTCGATGTGCACGTGGGTGTGTGTGAGGGAATAAGAGAATTACACTGTGTGTGTCTTCACTGTACAAACAAATGAGCCATGTTCAGTATGAGTTACAGACACTCAAGGGGTGGTGTAGGTGGAGGCGTGTTGCTTCAGGTACCAATTAAAATCCGTACTGACAAACAGAATAAAGCTAGTACTTCATGTTTTACCTCAGGGATGATACGCTGGACCGTGCATGCACTTGATTGGTCAGCTCGGCATTACATCAGCTCGTGTTGAGCCAACTTCAACTCTAAGTTTTCTTGCTGGAGCTCCCTGAGCACCACCTGCTCCCTGCTGCACGTATTCTAACTCACTGATGTTTCTTCTCAGTTCACGAGCACTGAACAAAATTTACTGTGAGAGAAAATCTATTTGGTGATTAGACCCCGATGACCCAACGTGTCATTACGGGATCCCAGCGGTGGCAGGATTTAGGACGGGACCCCTGGAATCAGGACGCTGGTGATTTAGATGGAGGCTTGGATGGAGCTCTGAGTGATTCGGGGGAGGCGGAGATGGGGAGGAGGCTGGTTGCACACATGAGAGCCTGAAAGAGAGAATGACAATGAGGACCGAGATATAATGTAATGATGTAAGTGTTGCGTTTGAGAGCGTGGGAAAGTGGAAGTGATGTAAAGAACAGGAAAAAAGACAGACATATAACTTAGGCGTAAGCTTCATATAATTATTGAATTATGTACATCAATGTTTTACATTACTGCATTAAAGAAAACGGGATGTGATCACAGTAAAGTGGTACACCCACCAACAGGTCTCGATCGCTGTGATTGGTCTGCTGGGTAAAAGGTGACGAACAAAGAGTTGACCATCCAGCACTGCTCACAGCACCAAGGAGGTTTCTGCTCTGCATGAAGCAGGCAGCAGGACATCTGTACAGTAGATGCTTCTGAGCTTTAGTGAACCTTCTTTTCATAAAACTTCCACTTTTACTGTCCGGTGAGAATCAGTGTAGTCACTCTGCATCCTAGAAAATCTTTAATGTCTCATGTGTTTGAGACGGCACGGAGAGATTTGAATATCCTTATGTAAAAACTGCAGCATGAGGTCAAATGAGTTTAGCGGATTTTAATTTGTTCCTGTGGAGTCGGCCTGCCTGCGTCCCTGAGTCGATCCACCAGTGTGCAGCAGCCTGCAGGTTTGTGCCAGGAAGCTCTCAGAGCTGACATTTACAATTATCACAACCCTGCACTTCATTACTACACATGGAGAGAGAAACCTACTGTACAAGTGCACGCGACACATTTATAGTAACGGTACAAAAAGACTTGAACAGCAAAATGCACCAAAAAAACCTAACAACCAAAAAACACTTGCAGGCGTAAAAGAATGAAATCAGGCTCATGGCTGAAGTTAAATGAACACTTTGTGTAGAGCCTGAGTGAGCTCCTCAGTGAGTCTGATCACCTGCTTACTGTTTGTTTGCAGCTCCAGTCAGACCCCAGGACCCGACTCTCATCAGGTTTTCTGCACAGTGCATGTGAATCGATTATGAAGTGACAGATTTTTAACTGATCGTTTGGTCAGTTCTTTTCTGGCATTTTGGCTCCACCTGGACTGACGCGAGGTTTTGCTACATGGAAAAAAAAGTTTGTCCAAATGAATAAAAATGACTGTTCAATAGCAGAAGGTAGCAGCACAATGTTCCTGAGAAGCACTGAAGCATCTGAGGCTGGGAGTTTGTGTGGCTCCCTCTGCAAACAGTCAAACAGGCTGATGGGAGCAGCAGGTCAGTAAAACGCTCTACAGGCTCGTTTTTAATCCTTTATTCCAACAAGTTTAACAAGCAGAATAATTCAAACACTTCAGGCAAGTTCCACTTCCTTTCAAGTTTGTGTAAAGAAACAACTGAGCTGACAACTCGGTCAAAACTACCAATAAACTGTCATTAAATACAATATACTCCCAACTGGGTTAGGGTTCATATTTTTATTGGGTTGATAATTTAGATGAAGATGTCATTTTCTTCCCTACAGGTCCAGTATACCCAGACTTTCTCTCTAATATTGAACCTCATGATTAACAGCTGAAAGTAACAGTAGCACGCTCCTGAAAAGCACCGAAGGCTCAAAAAGAAACACAGATGCTGTAAAACGTACACTTTTTGCACCATTTCTTCTACATTTGAAGGTTTAATACGAGGAGACGATCT